ACCAGGGTTCAGCTGAAGCCTGTTGTCCCCCATCCAGGCCCCCACAGCTTCCAGGCACCGCGAAAGGGTAGTCACAGCATCACTTAAGGCACCTGGGATGTTGATGTATATTTGGGTATCATAAGCATACTGATGATACCTCACTCCATGGCGCCGGATGATCTCACCCAGCGGCTTCATGTAGATATTAAATAGGAACGGTGAAAGCACTGACCCCTGTGGCACCCCACACAGTAGGGGCATTAAAGTGCAAACCATTGAATTCTTTGCTCTGATTAGTTCAATACCGTGAAAAACACAGCTTTCTGTTGAGAAGACCAAATTAATTTTTTCCCCCAAATTCATATCCTGCCTATTTACAAACAAACCAAGCTGAATCTAAATTCATTATTTTATAAATAAAAATAAAATCCTCCAAAGAAAAGTCATGAAATATTGACTATTTTTGCATAGGTTATATTTGGACCTATTCAGTTAGAGATTGAATATTTCATGTTCTGGAAAGCAACAGTTTTAGACCTTCAGTGCAATTATATTATGAGGGCTGTGTTGCATTACTTCAGCTGCGGAGTTGACTTAAATATTTCTCCCCTCTTTCCTTTCCCCTTTATTTATCTTGGTGATGTTTGATTATAAAATGTGAGCTTTCAGGGAAGAGCTATTAATGTAGTGGAGAGAGAGGTCAGGATGAAAGCCAAGATGTCTTGAAAACAACCTATCTTCTAGAACAATTGTGAAGTGGATTTAAAACTCATTTCACTTTTCTGCAGTTTACTGTCCCAGAAGACACTCCAGAACTTGCTGCTTTTTTACGCAACTCCTCCATCCCACACTCTGTTGGGCGGAGGGAAGCCAAATTGGTGGAGCATCAAAAGAACTCTGCAAAAATACTGGTGAGATAATTAGATATTTTTGTGCTATATACTCAAGGCTTACAATTCAATTACAAAAATAGAATGATTACTTTACCTTGGCCTTGGTAACGCCAGCAGGACCTTCATTGTACTTAGCATGTTCATGGAAGAACTTTTTATTGTTTGTTCTTCTGAGGAGAAGGAACATTTGCAAAAACAAACAAACAAATAACCCTTAAATACTAATGTATTCTGTTCAGGCTTTGTTGACTGTGTTTACAGTTAACTAGTAGGCAACAAGATGTGGAACTCTCAGACCAATCTGCAAATATAATATTAGCTATATCAGCCAAGATTGGACACAATGAGAGATAATGGTTATTTCTCAGGCTTCCTTAATTTCTATATCTAAAAGGTATGGGAGAAGTTTTAACTGGGAATCAAAGCTATCCTCAGCCCCAATTCTGATTAACAATATTAATACCGTAATGTTCTAACAACAGGTTACTATGAACTACTCTCTGAGTCCAGCACCTTTCACTCAATCTGCAATTGGGGCAGAAGAGTGTACTATACAATAGAGTCAGAGGGTTTTTAGCTACTCTTTTAACCAAGCATGCAACATGGAAGTGTAAGTGTAATAGAAACCACTGCAGAGTTCTCATAAGCTACTCTGATTCATACCAACCTGCAGTGGTATTAATATGTCTACTCTACATTGCTGGATTGCTGTAAGCAATCTTACTCAATTACTCTGCTTGACCTGCAATATTTACAGTGTATAGCTGCAATAAGTAATTCTTTCTGGTCACAAGCTCTTCCAGCCAGCAATATGGAGATAACCGCAATACAGAGACAATGTTGTTTTAGAGTTTGCATTAGCAAGGGTTACTTTTAATTATTTCACTCTAAATAACATATTGGTTGCTTCCTCTGGAGTTGTGTTTAAGGAACTAGGTGGACAGTTGGTGTCCAGCCTCGATTCAATTAAAATCTCATTTTTTTTCATTGATTTCTGTATACAGTTCTACTTTTTAATCATAATGACATCTAAAAATACTTTTTCATCACTTATAAGAAAATGTCTTATCCATGCAATGGGGTAGTTCTCTCTGTTCCTTCTACACATGTAACATTCTCTGTCCTTTTTTGCTCATTTCTCTTAGAGAAAGAAAGAAATAATAGTTGGGGAAAAGATAAACATAGAAAAATATAATCTGCAGTTTACTTTTTACTCTCCTCTTGACTTTTCTCTATTCTAATTCAAATCTATATTTGGATCTATTTTCTAACATATTTCCCGCAGATTTAAAACCTGGTATTATTAAATTATTTTTTTAAAAAAAAGAAACTGTAAATCTATTTATAGTACAAATTAACAGAAAATTATCAGTGTTCTTGATTTCTTATCCTAATTATCAAGGCTAAGCAAATATAAATTCTAAATTCTGGGAAGGCCATCTATGAAGCAATTATTATTCAGCCATAGAAAGCCTATTCATCCATAACAGAATAATGCTTCAAGATGTTATTTTTTGCAACAACTAACTCTAAGTTGCCAAGACAAATTCAACAACCATAAATGGTTATCCCAGTGGTTAAACTCTGTATATGGGTAGGTTGGGAGAAGAGAACCTGCATTTTTATAGTAAAAATAAACAGAGCTAAATCTTTTTCCAGTAGTTTGATTCAATTGCATTGGATTTAGCTAGGTAGCATTTCACATTCTAGATTCTTACTCAACTTATATTTTATATACCTCTAAGCCAAAGTTGTCCAAATTTGGCCACTTTAAGATGAATGGACTTCAACTCCCAGAATTCCCCAGTCAGCATTGGGGAATTCTGGGAGTTGAAGTCCACTCATCTTAAAGTGGCCAAGTTTGGACAACACTGCTCTAAGCACTTGAGATGGGGGAGGGGAAAAGAGGTTATGATTTATTATCTGTTTCACTATTTACATATCGCAGCATCGCTCTGCTCCCCATGTACACTTCATTGGGGTACCACTATATTGTCTTGGGTGAGGAATGCGCCACATGCATCTACAGCAAACCAAGATTACATCAAATCCCAGAACTCCATGGATTGTAGCCCATGATTAGAATTTTTGAAAGCTGTTTGTGGTGAGCCACAAGTCTTGCTTTAGCACAGTAAAAACGTTTGGCTGATTTTCTTTCTTTTCTTGTTTCTGAACTGCACGTCAAACTGTTTTTCAAACTCCCTCTTTCAAAGAAAAAGAAGCTCACTCTTTGGAAAGGGGGTCATACTCAAAAATGGGGGGAAGGTCCAAACCACCCATGAGTGTAGAAAAGTAAATGAGCAGGTTTTTGAGTTCTGGTCTGTAAGTCTGTTTAATTACTGCGAAAGTCACAACGAAATAGTCTTTCAATCTAAGTTACATGCATCTGTTTTTTGTTTTGTTTTTTTAAGATCTGCTTTAGCCTTTAATTACAAGGCTCTTTTTTGATCTAGTATGACTGTGAATAGAAAGAAAGACATGTCTTCATTGCTCCTACATTATAGAGAATAAACACTTTGGCTAGATTAAAGAGCGATTAAATAAGAAAAGCTAAACAAATACTTCCTTTAAAACATTGCCTTTCAGTAAGTTCTGTATAATCAGTTTCCTGCTGAGGAAGTGGATGGGAGTTGAACAAACACACACACATAGACACACACACACACAATCTCTCATTCAGTTTTAATGAAGAAACATTTGCTGTGATATTCTATAATTTTGGGTACAAATTTAACCTGGCATTTACAGAGCATAACATTATATAATTCCAATTATTTTTCTAAGACAGCATTTTATTTTACAGAAACCCAGTTTATCAAGTTCTATATTGAGGGACTTGGGGATTTGGACACAGAAGTCTTATAACTCAGTGTTTATTGTGATGTACAATTTGCACCCACTCATAAATGCACATATGTACAGGTGGCTCCTTGTTGCCTATGATGTATCATCATCCAACTGACGATCCCTTGTTTTAATTAATATTGTGACTATTTACATTACTGATGATTCTTTCTGAAATGCTCAGAGTGTTCTTAGCAAATGTCAATGTTTCCTAAACTATATCCCGCAAAATGCTTGTATTCTCTAAACAGCACTATACTTTCAACATACTGTAATGAAAAGTGGATTTTCAGCATTTGTTACATCCAAGATCAAATAGCAAAAGGAACTTAATGTTATGCTGACTTTAAGACTTTTAACAAATCATATTTCAGATACTGATGGCATGATATGCCAGCTCATGCGTCCCATTAAGACTTATAAACAATGTTTTAAATGTAAGGGGGAAAAAGAGCATTGTTAAAATGTTATGAAGACATCACTAAATATTAACACAAGTACTATTTCCTTATGCAGCTTACTCAGAAAATTGAAATTTAACACTGAAACCAAGAATTTAGTTCAGAAACATAGGCATTTTCTTTTTTTGAATTGTCAGTTCTCCAACAAGACATTTCTTTACTTAAACAGATCTATCAAGAAGTTAAGCTGGTATTATTTCTGTCTTTTAAAATCGAGCATTTCTTTTTTTTTTTTCTTTCTTCTAAAAATGAAAGCTGAGCATGTTGGTATTCTAGGTTCTCCTAATGGGATTTGACCATGTGAATGTCTTCAATAAATAGTTAGCATGTCTTTTTACTTTGTGTACAGAACTGCACAAATGTGGAATGTTTAATGATAACCTGTTCAGTGGGGCTCTTGGAAAGAGGGAAAAGTGCTGCATTGAAAATCCGATCTCGTTTATGGGCTTCAACATTTCTCCAGGTAAGAAAATGCAAGCTAATAGTATTTCTATCCTGTGCATAGAATACATTTGTGCATTGCAGCTGTAAGCATAGGTGCCTGTTGCTTCTCAGAGATACTGGAAATCCCACTTTACTCCAGTTCAAGCAGCATCAAGAAACCATTTTGATTTCTGCATAATCAAACATAAATTTACCATTTTGAAATAAATGTTTTTTCCTTTTGCAATGTTTGCAATGTACCATTTTTAAACATGTAATGTGTGAAGCAGTTTTGAAAATATGGCAGAGTGAGATCTGATTTCCCAGATCTTCAACTTCTATTCCAATTAGCAATTGGACCATACTAGCTCTCAATAAAATGCAAGGACTATGTCATTCAGGTCAGTCAATCAATCAATTGATATTTTCTCTGGAAAGTATGTAAATCTTGCAATATATTGCTCCTAAATTGCTCTCAGTTGATAGGTTGATTTCAGGATCTCATGAAGGAATGTGTGAATCTTTTATTTTATTCTACAGCATTGTCTCAAGCAGCCTTTCCCTGCCTGCCTACCTCTCTACAAAATATTTTAAATGTTTGGGGGAAAAAAGATAGGAAACCCCTCCCATTAAGAATTCTGTTCTGTAGTCCAATGTCACACATTGCAAAATAATGGAACAGCGTCTCCTTTCAGATATGAAAGCATAATCTTGATTTAATCCATTATTATTTATTTTAAGAATAAAGAATGCATATTTCATTTCAATGAATTTTATGTTGATATTGATTTTGTGTGATTTATTCAATGATTGCCTAACTTTCCATAGTATTAAAATGACACGATGACTATTCAATCTTGCATCTAATTGTAATCTGTCATCTTAAAGCCTAGCATTTTATCACAAATTGGAGCTATATGAAGTGAGATGATTAAACGAACTTGAGTAAACAAGGAGCTTAAGGACTCTCTAATAGCCAACAAAGATAATGAAGGCTGTTGAATAAAAGCCAAGAAGAACAAGGAAGAATTTGGCTGTGTTTCAAAACTTGAATTAACAGAAACATACATTAAATTTTGTTATTGATGTGGCTGAACTTTCAAATCATCAGTTTTCTAATTCATACAAAGAAAAAAAAGCCTTATTTGGTTAGATTAATTGCATTTCTAGTATGGCTTCTATTGATTTTCTATCTATATTAAATATAATACACAGCCATTGAAGAGGCAATCTGTATAGTATAGGGGTAAGCAATGGGGAACCCCTGAGCCCCAGAGCCTCAATATGCCCACAGATTCCTCTTCTGGGGGCCTGGGGGGCTCTTCCCCCACCCACAGTTCTTTGAGTTTAGGGGAAAAAAACTTGCATAATGTGTCTGAAGTATGACACCAATCTTATGTTATAACTTAACGACAGATTATAGAACCCCAATTTAAAGAGAGAAAAAATGTTTGTATCGAGAGCAGGAGTTTACAGCCTAAAACTCCAGGATGGCATACAGCTTTAGATGTGACAAATGAAGCCTTTGAAACAGAATTTTACTTTTTAATGTCATAGAAGGGAAGCTTACTAAATGTAGAGCTTGTAAACACAGTGAATATGTTTTATGATTTAATATGTTTAATGATAATAATAATTTTCATTCAGTTGAAATGAAATGAAATTTACTTTTTGTCTTGGATCTCCTTAATGGGGGATGTCCTCCACCAATACCATTCAGCGGACAAATGCAGTCCTTGTCCTGAAAAAAAAGTTGTGTCCCACTCACTACCTTAGAAGAATATCCATGATACTGCTGTTCCTGAGTGGAAAGTTTTTTCCCCAAAATATAGCTCAGCAAGCCAAATGCAATGGGGCTTGGTCCTATGGCGTTCATAGCAAACCTACTTTCACAGATTAGAAGATCATTCAAATCTGAAGAGAAACCTGAATTCTCCTTAATAGAGTTGGCTACTGAAACTGTGAAAAACAATTATTTTCCCTTCCTTCTCCTCCTCTTCTCTCAGGAATCCCACCTGCAAGCCAGATGCAATTTAATTTTGTCCTTATATGCCTTGCTTGGCCTCCATTTTATACCTTTGGAGTGGGTTGTTGACTTCTGCTGTTGTGCTTCATTGAGACCAAAGCAGGCACCGTCATCCATCAACAGGCCTACTGAGAACTCTTGCTTTTTACTTCTTAGGTGGGCTGATAGGTGATGTGCTTTCCAAATTACCTCTGCCTGAGTCTGGGTAGTATGCAGACAGATTCTGGACTCAGCATGTCTTGGAAGTGCTTAGCTATTTGGAATCCAAGTTAAAAAAGGTTTCACATTTGCTGAAACAGAAACTTTCATTTTTTTAGTATGATAATAGATTGAATACATTTAACATTTGGAAGGGTGCTAATACTCCAGAGAATGATAAAAGGTATCATTACAACCATATGTTTGTGGAGCTCTCTAAACCCCCTCACCTCTGTAATACAGATATAAATTTATAATGCTTAATATTTCTTTTTTTTTTCTAACAATGTTTTATCCCATGCCAAAGGTGGAGATAGATAAAGAAGAACTGGCCCCACACTACTGATGACTGATGTGAATGTCTTAAAAAAGTCACCAACTTACATTTAAATGAAGATATGGGTTAGGATCCTTAATAGAACATATCTTACATATCTTCATGCAAATGCGGGAATGTGCCCCTTTAAATACATCTATAAGCACATAAGATTCAGAGATAAAGCCCACAGTGTTGTAGGTGGGACAAGTCATAGATCCAATCTCCTTTGAACTAATTGAAAATAATTTCTGAAAAAAACTAAACTTATATTGGAAAACTGTTCCAGTGCTATAACATTATATTTTGAACTGTCCACTGTTTCTACTATTCCAGCAAAAATTGAGTGTTTAAGCACTAGAAGCTTAAATCTTGCCATACTCAAGAGAAATATGTCAACTGAATATGTAAGAGTGGAAACGTAGAGTGTCTATATTCAGGAGAAATCTGAAGGAATCAATTGCAGGTTGTTGCTGGCTGTGAATATTGTATGAATAGCTTTGCATCACAAACAAATTGCTCTATGCATATTGAAATGATACCTTGTACAAGGTTTTTCCCACATCAGTCCCTCCCCATCTTCCGTCTATATTAAGTGATAAAAATTGAATTCCTAGAGCTTATGAAGCAACTGTTAGGATTCAATGGCCCAAGGCACAGTTTAAGTTTTTAAAAGAAGTTTGGCATATAGTAATCCCCAGGAAATGTACTGCAGTAGGTTTGTGACAGGCTCAAAATTGAAAAAGAATGCATTCAGTGGTGAAAGAAGTTTTACTGTTTACCACAGAAAGGCTCTATGGAAATGGCTCATGTTCTTTACTGCTCATCCATTAATCATAGAGTGTGTGTTTGATTATGTCAGGAGGATAGGATGTGTCTTTAATTTAGGATTTTTCTATAGTGTTTAAGTGGCTTGCTTGAATATATGAAGTTTTGCACAGGAAATTATTTTGCTTTATATCACCCAGAGTCACTCTGCAGTGAGATGGGTGGTGACAAATTTGAAATATAAATAAATAAATCATGTTACTCATACAAACCTATACAGTGTTCTCTTTCAGGGTAAGCTACGTTATACAAAACATGAAAGAAAGCATGAGAAATAGAAAGCAAAAGAAATTGAAGACATGAGATAAGGAAAAAGAAAGGGAATAAATCTAAATAAATTTTATACAAATACAATCCACTGTACTTTTCTGTCCTTGCAAATCATTCTTGCTTCTACCATGTCCATATGCCAGTTCATACTCTACTCTTTTTGCTCTTTAAACCTCTCACATCTTTCTTTTTAAGGATTTTATCAGCAACATCCAGCCACAACTTTCTCAGTCTTCCTTTCCTCTTAATATTTCCCTCTTCCTTCATGTTTGTTATGTGGTTCAGGTCTCATTAATTCTCTGTAAATGACCAGATCGTCTCAACTTATTTCTTTAATATTGATTACTAATTTCTGTATATAATCCACATTCATTCCTAACCTTATCTCTCTTTTTTTTTATCACACATACTTCTTAAGTACTTAATATTTGCTGCAAAACATTGAGGTTCTCAACAACACAGCCTGGTTTGCATACAAAAGTACACACTCATTCACATGCGCAGCCAACACACCTCTAATATGACAATAAATATTCCTTATATATTTGCCCACAGACACAACCAAAAGGACAGAGGACATCCTTGTCTTATTCCTTAATCAGTGTTGAACTACTTGCTAAACATTCAATATACTCTTATGTACAGTATGTTTTACTTCCATCATATACTGGTCTTATGAATTGAGTAACCAACATTCAACTCTGTATTTGCACAAAAGCATAATTGAGGCCTAGCATACACTTTCTCTAAATCAGCAAAAACAATAAATTTTCTTTCTCACATTCACACATTTCTCAGTGATGTACTGAAGTGCAAAAATCTGGTCTGCATACCTGTACTCTTTTCCAAATTTTGCTCATTCTTACCTCTCACACTCTTTCAATCAAAGTTCTGCCAAGCACCTTCCCAGGCACAGTTAACAAAATAATTCTACTGTAGTTTCTATATTCTAGCTAGTGCTTAATTGTATTCAATATCTGGAAAAATAGAAAGTCAGAATATTTATGGGATCTAATATCAAGAACAACATGTTTTGATGGATTCTTGCTTACACAGAAGACTGAATAAATAATTGTTGTTAACAATGAACTACGTAAATCTATTGGTGGAAATTATGGCTGCTGTGCCTTTCTTTAATTACAGTTAAAGGAAGCCAATACTCTGCCATACTTTGTTTATTGAGTTTTGATCATCTGTCTCAAAATGGTAGGGCTGTGTGGGCCAAAATTTAGCAGTATGACTGAAATGGGTCCCAGGTCCCACAAAAAGAGCTTTGGGGACTGCAGGCCACAAATTTCCTACCTCTGCATAAGCCTGTTTTTGCTTCCTAATTTGACTATCAGAAAGGGCAGATATTGCTGTGGTTCTTAATTAAACAGATTTTATGTAGATAGGAGCCAAG